TTAATGGAAAACATCCTCCATGGGATACCCAGAGTGGCAGTCTATCTGGATGATGTGTTAATCACAGAAGCTACTGCAAAGGACCATTTGGAGAGTTTGGGAGGGTTTTCTGACATTTCCCCGTAACTGGCATCCTGCTAATAAGGGAAATATATGGTGTTCCAGGTGAGCAAGGTAATGTACCTTAGGTACAGGGTTGACAAGGACAAATGTCAAAGAGAAGGTGAAGGCCATACGTAAGGCTCCAACTTCAAGGAACACAATGGAGTTGAAGTATTTTCTAAGTCTCATAGTTTACTATGGGAAATTCATACTCAACCTGGCAATCCTGCTGACAACCCTCCCTGTCTCGCTAAATAAAATCAGAAATGGTTGTGACAAATGCCACAAGAAAAAGCCAAAGAAAATGCCAGACAACAACTACTGTTGACAAATATATTAGCTCATTATGATTTCTGCAATGCCTCTGTTTAGGATAGCAGCTGCTATTATTGCACCATTGGGATAATGGAGCAGAACGCTAATTGAGCCTTCTGGACAAATTTTGCACCATTTGGTAAGGTTTTTGATATCTGAGTATATGCCAAGAAGTCAAACATAGCTCCTTGCAATCATGAACTCTGGAGGAGGCAGGAAGGAAGTATGCCCAGATCGAGAAAGAAGGTTTGACCATGGTATTTACAGTAGGAATGTTTTACCAGTATGTCTATGGTTAGCATTTCACTGGTGTAACTCCTCACAATCCTCTGCTGGGCCTCTTCAAGGAAGACAAGTTGATTCTTCCCTTCGCACCAACGCAGATCCAATGCTGTGCACTGCTATTAGGTGCCTATGAATATATCTTGGAACATCATTCAGGGAGACACACCTCCAATGCAGATGCCTTGAGTTACCTCCGCTGCCCACTAGCCTGCTGTCACCTCCAAAGACAAATGAAGTCATCAGGACTTTGAACTTCATGGACACTCTACCAGTATCTGTCTAGCAAATTCAGGATCCAATGTTGGTGCAGTTATATCATATCCAACTAAATGGTAAACCACAAGCACGTTCTATGGAAGAGTTGAAACCTATATCTTAAAGTATCAGGAGTTGAACATAGCAGCTGGTATCATCTTGTGAGGAGTTTTGATGGTTGTCCCATATCCAGGTCAGTGAGCAATACTTCAAGAATTGCACAATGGCTACCAAGGAATTTCTAAAATGTGAATGAATGCAAGGAGCTATGTTTGGCTGCCTGACATATACACAGATATCAAAAACCTTGTCAAACTGTGCAAAACTTGCTAGGTAGGCTCTATGAGCAGCCTCATTGTACCCATGGGAATGGCCAGGTGACCATAAGTGTAAGTACATGCAGATTTTGCAGGGCCATTTATGGGCTGTACGTTCTAAATCTTTATTTGCACTCATTCAAAATGGATCGATGTGCACTGAATGGCACCTCTACCACCTCTTACAACACCAGAGAAAAACTTCCTCCAATCCTTTAGTATTTCAGACCTTCATGAAAACAAAAAGAGTAAGGCACATATCCATAGCACTCTACCACCTACCCCCTATCTGGCTGAGTGGTCCAGGTATTCAAAGTCACATGTGAAAGCAAACCATAGGCTCTTTGGAAATGAAGCTTGTGCATTTCCTCTTCAACTACAGGACAACACTGCATATAATGACGGAAGTAACTCTGGTGGAACTATTGATATGTTGATGCCTGCGGACTAGGCTTATCCTGAATTTCTAAAACTTGGGCAGCAAGAATTAAACAAGAGCCCCCCAAAAATTGGGCCATGATGCTCATAGGCCAGACAAAGATTTTTAAACCGGAAAATATGGTTCATGTCTTTGAGGATAGAGCCCAAACAGAAAGTAGAGCAGTTGGACAGACAAAGGAGTGGATAACGATCTAGCTAAGTGGGTGAATAGCTATTAATGGAGATTGTTAGTGGCTAACAAAGGGAAGATGTTTGCCAGCCCTCACCCCTGACCAAATCCAGAAGGCAACTGAAATTGGGCCACGGGCAAAGCGACGCAAGAGAGCCCATCGTCACAGGAGTGAGATGAACCTTCAGACTTGGAAGGGATGTGATGACTCTTATAAGTCACATGGAGAATCATTGATCAATCTCCTCATGGAGCTCATTGAGTATGTGTTCCCTTGGTAGCAGACAATGGCCCGCCCATTTGGAATTCAGCACCTGAGCTCTTTGAGGCCCAGGTTCAAGTCCCACCTACTCCAGATGTGTGTAATAACATCTCTGAACAAGTTGATTTGGAAAACAGGTTAAAAATTTCATAAAGTGGACCCAGGCTACCTGGGAGTTTTTACTGTTGGTATATAGCAGCTAAAAAGAAAAAGAAGTAAAAAGTTACTGTGATTTTGGTGGTGGGAAGGTCATTCAGTGGTAGCGCCCCTACCTTTGAGCCAGGAGGCCCTGATTCAAGTCCCACATTTACCAGAAGTGTGAAATAATATTGCTGAGCAGGTTGATTAGAAAATAGGTTAAAAAAAAGGTGCACCTAGCATCGGTGGTTCATACTTAAAAAAGGTGAGGGGAATAAAAATACAGTGGTTTGTTAGTCTGAAAACCATTCAGCACTTCAATCTGAGGCAAAACCCACAGTGTAACTCAGATAATGCCTCCAAAGTCATTATGGCGCCAGAAACTCTGTTATCACTTGAACTTGAGGGTGCATTAGCACTGGATAAAGAATGTTACCTGGAATGGAGGGAAGGTCTTACGAGGAAAGATTGAGAGAGCTAGGGCTTTTCTCTTTAGAACAATGAAGGATGAGAGGTGACTTGATAGAGGTGTACAAAATGATCAGAGGTATAGATAGAGTGGACAGCCAGAGACTTTTTCCTAAGGTGGAGGTAGCTATTACGAGGAGGCATTGTTTTAAAGTGAGTGGAGGTAGATATAGGGGAGACGTCAGAGGTAGGTTCTTTACTCAGAGAGTGGTCGGGATGTGGAATGCATTTCCGGAGAGGGTAGTGGAGTCGGCCTCATTAGGGGTATATAAGCGGCTATTAGATAGGCATATGGATGATAGTATAAGGTAGGGATAGAGGTTAGATAGACCTTAGGATTAGGGTAGAAGTTCGGCACAACATCATGGGCCGAAGGGCCTATACTGTTCTGTACTGTTCTATGTTCTATGTTCTATTCAGTTGTGTGTAAAGGCAGTTCTGGCTATAAAGAAACAAAAAAACAACAGACTAAAGAAGGCGTCTGCAGAATAGTCTGCCTTGGGCTGGAACTAGTCTATGTGCACCGTGAGTAGCGACTAAATTTTGGCGTTCGACAGTAAACGTTCCTATCCAGTCAGGTTTTATGGATTATTAGAGACCTGAAACATTAACTCTGTTTCTCTCAGCACAGATGCTGCCAGACCTGTTGAGTTTCTCCAGTGTTGTTTTAATTTTATATGCCCTAAGACACTCTCAGCAGCAATATAAAACAAAATATGACACCAAGGGGTGAAAAGAGACATCAGATGAAATAACCAATAGTTTCGTCAAAGAATAAATTATAATGGATGGCTTAATGGAGGAAAGTGAGGTAGAGAGGTGGAGGGATATAAAGAATGTATTCCAGAGATTAAAGTCCAGGCAACTGAGGGTGTGACCACTCAAAGTGGAGCAATTAAAGTCGGCAATGCTTAAGAGACCAGAATTAGGTGAGCACAGATGAAAGGTAAATATTTCAAAATCAAGGTATTGTTTGGCCAAGAGCCAATGTAGGTCAACAGCCACAGGAGTGTTGGAAGAGCAGGACTGGAGTCAGTTAAGGCAAGGTGGATCTCGACAGGTGCTGTTATACCTGCTGAATATTCTGTTTTTATTTCAGATTGTCAACATTTGTGATATTTTACATTATTTTGGAGGATTCCACATAAAACTTTGCTATAGTACTGCAGGATGGGACGTGAAAGAATCATCTCTTGGAAGATAAAATGGATAGTCTAATTTTTGGATTTAACTTCTTTTAGAAGATTTAATTTAAGCTACTTTGACTTTTTTTAAAAATTATTGTCTAAGGCCCAACTATTGTTATTCTACAAATGTCAGCAAACACCCATTAAATGTATTAATCTCAGGAGCAAAATTTGTCTATGACAAATTGCATGAAGTCAGACGAATGAGTTATAGACTGTGCACACTCATGGTTTTTTTTTAAGTTTAGTTTTTGGGAACAAGAGAAGCTGGAATTATTTGGCAGCAACCTATGTTTTAAAATGAAATACTTCAACGTTTACAGACTCTTCTTCAATCAATGAGGATCTTGAACAGTAGATGATGAACTCGTATTCTCATGGAATGCAACATACTGATTAAAAAAAAAAACTGGTGTTTTCTTATTCAATAGTATGTGAGTGTCACTGACTGAAGTGACACTTATTACTCATCTTTAAATGCCCTTCAGAAGGTTATGGTGAGCTGCCTTCCTGAACTGCTGAAGTCCTTGAGGTATAGGTACCCTCCCAGTGCTATTAGGGTGCTATTAAGAAGAAGCATAAGATTGTTGTGGAAGTAGAACTTTGCCAACATCCATAGAAATTTTTTACTTTACTTTGGATATTCTATCTTTAAATTTTGACTTATTTTCCCTCACTCCCGCATTGAGTTCAATAATTCTTTTCAGTTAGATAGGCATCTGAGAAAACAAAATGTATAAAAAAGAGACTCAAATAGATAAAAAAGAACTGCAGGGAAAAGCTGAAAATCATAAGTTAGCAACATTTAATTTATTCCTTGCATTCCATGTGACATATGCAACTTCTTGCCTTTTTATCTATGCAGGTGTTTCTTTTTGATTGTAAATATCTTTTGGAAACAGGGTAGTGACTAAAAATGGATCTAATATTTTTCCATCTCTGGCTATTTTAAATAAATGTATTGGTCAATCAGACACTGCTCAGTTTTGAAATGTGTATGTAGTTTTAGTTTTGGAAAAGCGTAACATTGTATCAAATTTACCTTTATTTCTTTTGTGTAGGTTACTGGGCCGAGGCATTGAGTTGACTGGTTACATTTACATCTGGAAGAATTTTAGGCTGTTTGAACTCCCATGGGATTCTGCCTGGACATGGTGGTTGGCGTTATTAGGAGTTGACTTTGCTTACTATTGGCTCCATCGAATGTCGCATGGTAGGACATTTTGAAAACAATAGTTTACCAATGTTTGTATGTTAATAAAGATTAATGAATTCTTAGCTTTTCACATAAGGCATTTCAACTTTTAAATTGAGACTATTTCTGCAAGACTGAGTGAAAAATGGTTATTTCTTGGTCTGATATAATGATAGGATATTATATCTCAATATAAATCTATTGGGCCATGATGACTATGCTGATATTTTCTTGTAAAATTTGCTTTCCTCTTTTTTGGTAGGGAACGGAAAAGAGCCAACAGTGAAATAGAATTTTTAGATGGACCTGTTGCATTTATACAATTCCTGTAACGTGGTAAAGCAGTCTATAGTGCTTCCCAGGAGAGTTATGAAACAAAATTTTACACTGAGTCAAATAAAGAGATATTAGCATAGGCAAAAAAAAAAACTTGCCCAAAAAGAGGAGTTCCAAGAAGCTATGTTTAACAGATAGAATTCTAGAGTTTGGTGCTTGGTAGTTGAAGGCATGGAGCAATTAAGTTCACAAATGCCCAGGAGACCAGAATGGGGGAACACTGAAATCTTGGATTGCTTTAGGTGAGGTTATTTGTAATCAGTGATAGGAATTTTAAAATAGAGACATTGCTGGAATAGAAACCAACAGATCATGATGATATTGGACAAAAATTGCATAAAGAAATTGCGCATTATGATATTGAGTTGACAATGCTTAAACATAAGGTTTTAAATAGAATGTTATAAAAATTGATATGTGCATCTGTAACGTTTCACTGAGCATTAGGTTATATTGATGTTGCATGTGTTGTGGTGCCAATCAGTACCAGGTTATGGTTGGGATAGTTTGTTGCTACCACACCCTTTTTATGACTAGGTTCAGGGGCCTACTTGGTTTACAATGGTAGAAGAATCCCACTAGTGAGTCTTACCAAGAAGGCGCCCTTGGGTATGACAAGCTAGAGTTTATTGCATGATTCAATCATGTACAAATTACATTAGTAAGTTAGACATTAGGAAGAAGACTATTGGGTCCCATGAAGATTTCATTTGACTGCATTGCAAGATGCTTTAGGTGTACCTTTGTATGTTTATTACTTTGGGTTATATGGTGTACAGTTAATTGAAGACTATGCTTCTATTTGATTTGGTTAATTTTGCTTGTTCTAATTTACATGGCTTTCCACTGAAAACACATCTCTCAGTGACATGTAAAATCCAGCCCCATGGTTTGTCTAATGTCATCCAACCATGTTGGATCTTGGGTGTGTGGTAGGGGGCTTCTTGAGCAGGAGCAACTGTATGATCAAAAACAGAAGTTACTGGAGAAACTCAGAAGGTCTGACAGAATCTGTGGAAAGAAAACAGTTAATGTTTTGAGTCCTGTGGAACTGAACAACAAAACAGTGTCATAAAATAAAACACAGAACTGCAGATGCTGATGACCTAAAACAAAAACCTGAAACTGCTGGAGAAACCCAGCAGATCTGACAGCATCTGTAGAGAGAAAGCAGAGTTAACATTTCAAGTCCAGTGGGGACATGTAAAATAAGTATGCATTTCTCAGAAGAGAATTATTATGAATAGTGTAGCAGGTGTAAGAATGTTTCAAATAAATGTGTTCTTTTGTACTTTTGTTTGTAAAACATAACATTCTGTACTTCTGTTTTGATATGAATTCATTTACGTGCCTCATTACATTTAAGAATGCACAAATAGTTATTATATGTTTTAATGAAAACACAGCAAAATATTTCTAGTTCCCCATGTTCTCATTAATTCTGAGATTTATTTTCAGAAAAAGTGGGTAGGGTAGGACAGGCAGATGGTCCGTTGAGTCTTTTGCCTTAGCCATGGACAAAATTGGTTTGATAGACATTGGTTTAAGGATGTGAAACTAACCACAGTATTGAACCTAATCATTTTCAGCCTCTTCACCAATGATTTTCCCTCCACCAAAAGGCCAAGAGCAGGAATGATTAATGATGATTGCACAGCATTGAGTTCCATTTGCAACTTTTCTGTTAATGATGCATGTAATAAGATCTGGAAAACATTCAGGCTTTGACAATTAAGTCGGAAATGTTCAGCAATGACATCTCCAACAAGAGAGTCAATCACCTCTTGAATTACAGGTTATGGGGAGAAGTACGAATTATAACAGTTCCAACTGCATCATTGTGAGAGAGAAGATATCTGACTTCTTCGAAGGACTTTTTACCTAAGCCAAAAGGGTCGCTAAACACTTTGTTGCAATACACTTCATTAGAAAAGCAGTGATCCTTTAAAATAACAACTTAAGCATTGAGCATTAATGCTACCCATACCTACTCTATTACACTGCGAAGCATTGATATACTAAGAAATATGGATTGATCAGGTCAATTTGTCTGCATCCCCACATAATGCAATGAGATATTACTCACTGTCTTTTTCAATATTTATGTGATACACTAAATCATGTGTTGATAATACTTCAAACTCCTCTTGCCAAAAAGAAATTTGATATGCATCCATAAAATTTTGGACAAAGCTACAGTAGGTCTGGAGTCTTGGCAAATCATTAGTTTTTGTATTGTCCAAAGATAATCTGAATGGTTGGCAAGAATGTAAGACTTTCTAAGCCAAATTTTGAATAGTGGATCAAATATGTATAGCACTCTGTTTAGCATAACCTGTTTTAAAATTATGTGCATGGCATGCAGAATAACTATTCAGCTCTACAGTCTGGGCATTTATTTCACTCGCTGTTCGTAGGAACTTGCTATGTAAATTTGCCTACATAATAAACATGGGTCCATGTCTGAATAATTCACCGCCTGTAAATTTTTTGGGGGAATTTTAACCATATTAGTTTAATTTTGCCATCTATGAGGGCAATCGGCTCATCTCAAATCTTATACACAAAGGTATTCGCTACCATGTTCATAAATTCTCAATATGTTGCACTGGAAAACCTTAATATGTTAAAATGTATGAACATGCCAAACTTTAAGTTTTTCCATTTAAATAGTTAGAGTGACTTTAATGACAGATAATCCTGGATGGAATAAATTATAATGTAATTTTATATTCAAAAATATCCATTTCACATATGCACAGAATTTTCAGTGAAATAAGCATTGAATTCTTCATTAGGGAATAATACCTATACAATAAAATTCAAAATAATGTAATACAGCAGCTTTGTGAATGGAACTCCTCAGAAAATGTGCCTCTCATGCAATCTCTAGATTACTTTTTGTGTCTGTTGGTCCTAAATTGTGTTTTTAGTTGTTCCTTATCCCTTGTCATTTGGAAAAAGAGGATTATTTTCGAAAACGAACCGAACATCTGAAAGAACCAAACTCTAAGCATTGAAGTGCTCTATTTTTAAACTGTTATAAACAAATGTAAATTCTAATTAAATTTTTTAAATAAATGGAGCATATATTTTGCAAACTTTTGATTTACGTACCTGTTGATTTCTCTTGCCACTATTCCTGAAGGTTTAGGAGATTGATCAGAACTTTTGCACACTTTGTAGTTTGTTGAATGGTGCACAAAAGTACATGGAACCAAAGCTAAGTAACGGTGGTCTGGACCCCACTAAGAATGAAACTTGGGCAATGAGGTTGAGTTTTAAGATTGAAAAGGTGAGGGAATACTGATACTAGTGAAGAGTAGGAACACATTGCAGCAAGTAGCTATACGGTGGACCAGCATAAGATTGAAGTAAATGACTGACACTATTTTAAAAACCATTGGATGTTGACATAAGTAGCACTAAGTTGCGTGTCAGAAATCATAATGCAGTGAACTGAAAATACATTGAGGAGATGGTGGCTTGAGAATATTTAGAAAGAGAGTCTACGGGTCTCAGAGTATTGGAAAAGAAGTTCTGGAGTGAGTTGAGAGTACAAAAGTGGTGAAATGATATATCAACTGACAGAAATTGGAAGAGCGTAAAACTACTTCAAAAGAAGCTGACACAGCTCAGAAAACATGTACATCTTAAAAAGAAGCAACTAGACAAGGCCGCAGTTTTATGATAGTTGGGTATGTTAAATTCATTTTTATTGCATTGTATTTCTGTATGTTTTGGGATCAATTTCTATAATTCAATTATTTTCCCTGTAAAATCAGACATACATGTTAGCCTTTCACTTATTATGAAAATGTCACATTACAGGAAATGTAATGTGACATGACTTTGTTGCAACTTGTGCTGCAATCTGTCTTTGTACTTGATTTTTTTTATTTATCTAACACACAGCAGGGTAAAATTTTGTAGTATGTTGAGAAATCTTGACGAAATCTTGATCTGGCAATAAAATGTCTTTTTTAGGGGAGCTTCGGGATATGTTCATTCCATGCCAAAAATAAAGTAACATCGCCGGTAGGGAACTCATGAATCTCTTCACACTAAGATTAGAAGACTTGTGCTGCTTCTGCATCTCTCTATTCTGCTTGTGGATGAAGCCAACCCTCACTATTATTCTCCCCTGTTCTGGACCTGAACCCACACTTTTTTAATGTAGTTCTTTCATCTCCTCCCTGCTCTGACCTCATCTTGTCTTAGAAGATCCGAAGTTTTTTTTAATATTCTGATTGTTAATTATATATTGCATTTAATTGCCAGCAGATGGTGGCATTAAATGGGAATACACTTGAGCCCCTATAAATAGTCAGTCTGATTTTGGGGTCAAGTGGTGCTTGCTTGTAACTGCGTGCATAAATAAATGTTTGTGCAAGTGATTCCAATTATATCTTTCACCAACTGGGATTTCTGAAATACACCATAGGGGTGCAGGATGGTTACTTGAGGTGAAGGTTGGAAGTTAAGGAAAAGCACTTTCAACCAGAACATGACAATTCTAATAGTCATCATGGGAAGTAACATAAACCAAAGTCTAAAATGTTGGGATATGATTACAATCTAATTCTCTCTCACTCTGAATCATACGGCCAATAGAAGAATGAAGTGGATATGTGGGCATGAGTTTTATACCTAATGAAGAGAGAACAAAGTATGGCCTCAGC